TATATACCATCTTAATAGTTAACTTAAAGCTGACTCGAAAAGTGAAGCTTTGTTATTTTTGATTTTTGTACTTCGTCTACGATTTTAGTACAATGGCTCATTTACTATTAACGCATTATTTTTATATTAGTTACGTCAACAACACGCGTTTGGCAGTTTTTTGCTACCTAACCTTTAAATTATAAAGAGTAGGTTTCTTTGGTAGTGATAGTTTTCTCTACTTATATAATTGATCTTTGGTATTTCCAAAGTGCAGACAATGTTTTCAGTTTTCGACTTAACCACTGCATAGTTGGTTTGTTGAGCAACGCTTTCGCAGTATTCTAGATGACTTATTAATGCATTATTTTATGTTAACCTGTCAACGACACGCGTTTGGCAGTTTTTTACTTCACAACTTTTACATTATAGATAGTAGGTTTCTTTGTTAGCAGCAGTTTTCTCTGCACTTGGTGATCTTTGATATTTCCAAAGTGCAGACAACGTTTTCAGCTCTCAGCTTAAGCATTGCATTGTTGGTCTATTTTGCAACTCCTGCGCAGTATTCTGGATGACTTTCGAGGGAAGGCCAGGAGACAGCAACGGTAGGTTTGGACGGACCGAATTTGTTGCACTATTATCTTTTCTTTTTGATGCCTTCAAAGATTTCACCGTTTCATCCTCTATTAACTTGATTTTTGTAAATCTTACAGGAAGTTGAAGTTTTTTTATTAACAGCATGTGCTTCATGGTTTTGGTTCTTTAGTGTTTGTTGTCGGTGGGGCATGGTGAAAGTGGAAGAATCAGCCTACGCTATGGTATTCTGAATTGATGGTTATTGTTACAGAGGATTTGCAGTGAAAATGTTCGCTATTTTTTATTCTGTAGAGGAATTACGTCAGACTGATAAATAAGAAGATACAAGAGTAAGAGGTGTAAGAGAAAAATTTTTCACAGTAGTTCACCTCTTGTCTAAGTGTCATATTGGTCAAAATTCAGTTTGGTTTTCGTCACAATTGCACGTTTTTATAATATTTTGCTTCGTTTTTTTTTCCCACCACTTTCTTAATTGATCAATTTTGAAAACCGTCAACAATTTACTTTTTCTTCTGGGCAATTACCGTTCGTCGAAAGCATAAAGAATGTGGATTTTGGAAGGCAGGGTTGGAAAATTGAATTTGGCACATGTGGTGTAAAAAGTTTTAATTTGTTTGTCAGCTATTAATACTTAATTGATTTATTCAGATGACAATTTGGTATTATAATTATTTCCAATCAAGAATGAGTAATCCCTTGTTTTCGACGAAATGCTCAAGTTTTGAACCACTTCTTTTTTTAATGCTGTCGTTTTGATTTTTGTAAAAAAGACACTGAAAAAAATTCCTACTGATGAATGTAGATAAATGAGAGTAAAAATTTTACTGCAAAAAACATTTTGAAAATTACACTTGTAATTGTTCATATTTTCTAAATGCTATGGGAAGCCTTTTTTTCGCTTGTGTAAAGCTTTCCTTTTTTCCTTTCCAGCGTTGATTCTTCTGTTTACACCATGATCGAACTTTAGTGGAAGCTGAGGGGTAGAGTATCTTATAATGCACGAATTTCTGTCCAGAACTTTTTTTAAAAGGGATTGGTTTGTGAGACTTAAACTGCAGCCTGCCATCAATCTTTTGCTGGAAGTTTCATCTGAATGGGAATTTCTGCTCTGGCAAACTATGTTTTTCCTTTACTACCCACTTTCAAATAGCCGGTTGCTTGATAGTCAACTCTTTTTGGAGCAAAACTGTGTGCTTTGTCTCGAGGCAATCTGCTAGGAGACCTGTAAAGTTCGAAATCATGGGACGTATAAGGATGCTCTGGGTGGTAATCTTAGATTTTCGAGGTTATGATTCTGCAAGTGGAGGAGCAGAGAGGAAAGGAGTAGGCAGGGGAGCATGGGGGTCGTTTGGCTCCATATTGCTTTTCGCGCTTTGCTGCAAGTTAAACTCCTCAGCTGGTCTTCACGTTTTTTTGGTTTTCAATTTATCTGGTTGGAAAATTTGATTACTTTTTTCAAGTTCTATATTTTTTTTATTGGTTAGCTTTTAGCAGCTGCATCACCATGTCGTTTTTTCCTCTACTTCCTCTCAAGGTGTCACTTAATGTTTAGCTGGAATGTTTTTGTTTGACATGTGCAAAAATAACTTGTGATTTGCTTTTTATCAGTTGCTTCTTCACTATTTTATGGTCGTATCCTGGATTTGTTGTGATCGCTACAGCTAGAGTGCTGTAGAGGTGAGCGTCTAAATATAGAGCTGCTGTTTTCTTCCTCTGTAGAATTACGGATGATTAGGTAGAAAATGCGCAAAATAATGTCATTTCGCAAGTTCTGTTACTCGGATTTGGTGACTGAATGAATGGTACAACATTCTTTTATTTTATTTGTTTCCTCGTGCAGGAAAGGTTCCTTCATACTTCTAATTGTTCTATGGAAGGAAGTCTGATTTTTGGTGAATTAATTGATGCCTGAGGTGTGGATTTTGTTTACTTTTCGTAAAGCCGGTGCATTGTCTGCACTGGAATACTTTAAGCCATACAGATATCTACGTTTGCATGAGGATTTACTTGTATTTCATAGTTTTTTTCCGTTCAACCATGAATTGTATTTATCTTTCAAAAATTTTGTGACATCTATCCTTCCTATGTTGTTTGATCTTTTCAATTTATATTTAAAGCTTGGTAGATTTGGTACTTCATTTCGCTTAATTTAATTTGAAAATTTAGTGCCGTTATTGTTGTTGTTGTCTCTGTTGTTTTTTTAAAGACATTTTATAGGATTTTAAGTTTTTTTGGAGATGCTGCTTAATCGGCTGTAGTTGTACATATATGTTCGCTGGCTTTCCACTGCTGACGAATGCGGTTGCAGAATTCTACAATATGTTCCGTCGGCATTTCATTGCTGTAGATCACGGTCTGACTGTTTATTTCTTTGATTTTTTCCTGGTTTTGTTGCTAAATTGTTTATCGAGGAACTGAGGTTTTTTTTTTGTAGAGCAAATTAAACAGTATATCGGATATCATTGGTGGTTGTTAGTTAGATTTGGACGGTTGGAGTTATATTGCTGGAACTGTGTAAAATCAGTAGGGTTTATTTTGTTTGCAGTTTTGAGTTGTGTCGTCTTTAGAAACCTGCCTCTAGTAGATTCGTTTCTGTTGTTTATTCCCCCTCTTGTTTTATTAGGTAACCAACAAAAAGCACAAGTAATTCAAGCTTTTTTAGGTAGGTAGTTTCTGTTTGAATTGAATTAGTTTTTACTAGCTTAATGAGGCATTGCAAAGTTTTTTATTACGATTAAATATTTTAGTGATGGATATTATCATACGATCTGACCTTCCCAGTAGTTCGCTTACAATTCTAATTGACAAATTACTTTTGCGTTTGAAGAGGAAGACGGTTTTTTAAATATCCACAGTTTTCGCTGTGATTTCAATGATGGGGCTATTTTAATTATTATTTCTGAAGCTTTTTATAAGGTGTTTCAACGATGTGGTAGTATTTCTGGTGAATAGCAAATAATCTAGAGTAAAGTAAAGGTTTTACGTTTTATTACTGCGTTGTGATTTCCAGCTGGTCACTTTTTTTGGAATTCATTCTTGTTCAAGCCACCATACTCTTTAAAATTGGTTTACTGACAAAAAGTATGATCCTGATTTGGTCTTTTTTCGGAGTTTTATTGATTACATGGGTCAGGATATTGTTAGAATTTGGAGTGTGTTGCGCCTTACCAGACATTTCGGTGATTACCCAACTTTTAGGACACAGACTTGCGCATTGTATTGTTATAACTTTTGCTTCTGCTGTTGGGAGTGGGAAGGAGTTATGCAAAGGCGCGAGAGAGCGAGCAAATAAGATAAATAACAGTCCTACCAGTGCTGAGAGGAGCTTTCAGGTAGTTTAGTCAAGAAGAGCAACACCGAATGGAAGCATTTTATGTGAAAGAGCAGGGTGAAGGAACACAAATAAAGAAGGCGTTTCTCTCATTTCTTGCAATTCTGTTACTTAGTGTTAGGGGTGATGCAAACTACTGGTGATCTGAGTTCACTCGCAGTTAGGTTTTGTTGTGAATTTTAACTGAGTTTGTGTTGTTCTGAACTTTAATTATTGCGAGGACATTTATCTTTTCGCAACGTTTTTTGACTTGTTTGCTTAAATTCACTTGGAAAAATCCTGAAAATTTTTAGTGGTCAGATATCATAATTTCTTTACAGTGGATGGCTTAGCTTCAGGAGGCTATATGCCGGTGAACAGAAGCAAAGATATGCAGAATAGTGATAATTTACCTTTAATAGTCTCAGAAGTTTACTTTTTTCCGGTATTTTTTGACTTTTTCGATTTGGAGTTTGGATTGAACCGGGTAGGTGATAAGATTTCACAGTGTTCTCTCTTCAAGGGATACTTTTTTTAGCATTTTACTTTCATAGCTTTAATCATTTTGCAGAATCCACTAGTGCGGAAGGCACTGTTTGTGTGGAAAAAGGTGAGTCAGTACTTGTAGCGGTTCACAATGCGGCTCCAGAACTGTCAAAAGAAGAAATCCTTGAATCTGCGAGGACTGCATTCAAAGTTGCTGTTGAAGAGCGGGCAGTTATAATGACGGCAGGGTCGAGCGGCGATGAGGATGAGGTATACTTTAGTGAAATATTTTTTTTTTCCGGGCAACGAAAATATTACATTGGAGTGGAATTTACAGCTTTGCAGTTAATCATTTATGCATTTTCAGAAATGAAATCCAGATTTTAAACAAACTCTATGTGTAAAAATAATTGTTTTGTCAGCTTTAGTTATCTGTAGTTGTTTGTTTCTTTGTACATGATATTCTTTAACTTTTGCAAGAAAATCATGTTTATGCTGTTTGTAACTTCGCTCTACGTCAGAGGTCTTTAAAATATGCATATAATATGCGGTAACAGTGCAGTTTGCCTTAATTCATTTTTAAAAGTGAAGACTGCGCTTACATTTGGAACACAACTAGAAACGTATTTTGCAGATTGATTCTATCTTTTCGGAGCTGGGTGAAGAACTGCACAAAGTTGAAGTGAATAAAGCAGTAGCAAATTTTGTCTTGTACGTCGTCGATCGCGATACTTTTCCATTAGTTTTCATTAAGGTCTTATTAGATTTTTTTTTTTCTTTTACAATTATTACCTTTTGCAATTAGGATTCGAATAAGTTTTTTTTAGGGAGATTGTGTTGGCGGTTTATGTGAGTTGCGGTTGCTTGAGGAAAATGGGGTCTTGAGGAACTGGCTTTCAAAGCACACCTATGACTTAATAGTTATAGGAGGTGGCTCCGGAGGGTTGGCGGCTGCGAAAGTAACTTTTATGTGAACTCAAAAAAATTTTTTTATTTGCTGGAAGGTTTGTGACTTTCATTGGTCTTTTTTGGGTGGTTTTGTGGTAATAAATTTTTAGCTTTAGATGGCTGCGAAGTATGGCAAGAAAGTTGCTTGTTTGGATTTTGTGAAACCATCGACTCAAGGAACTACTTGGGGTCTTGGTGGTACATGTGTTAATGTTGGTTGCATTCCTAAAAAGCTAATGCATCGAGCCTCCATTCTTGGGGAACATATAAGTTTGCTTTTCTACGTTGTTTCTGAGAAAAAATACTTTTTTTGACGGTTTCTAAGGTCTTTTTTGTAGTTTTCAACAATTTTTTCAGCTTTGGTTACTGGGTTTTCAAGTTTTCAATAGCGCTTTCTCTGATCTTTAAGCGTCAAAGCATTTGTCGCACTTTTTTTACTGGTGAGGAAAAAGGTGTATCCAGTATTTCGTATTTTAAGTTAACAAAGTTCATTCTGGATTTTTAAGAGGCATCTCTATTAAAATTTTTGAATTGCCGTGTTTTTTAAAAATCTTACTAAGCTGTTTGAAGATGATGCCAAAAAATTTGGCTGGGAAATTGATGGTGAACCTAAACTGGATTGGTGCAAGATGAGAAATGCTGTTCAGGACCACGTCGCATCTCTTAATTGGAATTATCGGGTGCAGCTCAGAGAAAACTCAGTTCGTTTTTTTAGATTTTTCCTGCTTTTCTGAATAATAACTGATTTTTTTTTATTAAATTCATTAAAATGCAGTAGTTTCTCTTCAAGGTTACGTATATCAATGCATACGGAAAGTTCGTAGATTCTCATACCCTTGAAGCCAAAAACAAAAAGGGTAAGGTTGAGATGTTGACGGCAGATAGATTTTTGCTTGCGACAGGTCTTAGACCTCGATTTCCCAACGTTCCGGGTTGTTTGGAATGTTGCATAAGCAGGTATTCTAAACTAGTATTAGGTTCTTTGCAGTATTAAAACAATTTTTACTGAAGTTGCTATAATTGAAGGTTTATTTTTGAGACTTGCAGGTCAGCTATGCAATTTTTTGTTCTCTTTTTGTTTAATTGCGTAAAATTTAGTGACGACCTTTTTTCACTGCCTTATAATCCTGGTAAGACTTTATGTGTTGGTGCGTCGTACATTTCCCTGGAGTCGGCAGGATTTTTGAAAGGAATTGGTAACGACGTTACGGTGAAGACTTTGATATTTTTATTGATAGGAAACTTTTTGTTGGGGAAACTAATTTTTCTGTAACTCAGGGGAACTGTTCAAAGAAATGGTTTTGAGTAAACTTTTATGAAATGTAAGTTTTATTTCGTTTTTTTAAGGATTTTTCAACAATTTTTCTAGCTTTCTGTTACTAAAACTTCTTAATTTGTGACTGTGCTAATTACTAGTGTAACAGTAGTAATGGCTGTTGTTTGCGACTACTGACATTGTCTTTTTTGCCGCAAAATTCTTCTTGTTGCCTTCTTCTTTGCTATCAACCATTATTTCGAATTGCACTCCCTTTCTGAAGTAGTACAGCGAAATAGCATTTAAATGATGTTTGTTAATTTGAAACAAGATGTTTATACTTAATCGAGTACGGAAAAAGTGAAATATATTTTTGTTTAAACTAGATATTAGATGAGCTGGGATACGCATCATTTTTATAAATAGGTACGCTTTCATGGTTTAATGAAAGTGTGGGAAAGTTCAGAATTTTTTTTATTAAACTCTTCATTCTTCCTTTATATTGGTGTCAGGTGCGAAGTGAGTTATTGAGTAGCTTTTTGTTTGAATGGTCGAAAAGTATTTTAATCCTTGGTGTTTTTTCTTCAATTGTACTCATTTTTGAGAGGTGCCTAGAAATACTGAATTACTGATAAAAATGTAGTTGTAGCAGACTGGAGTACTGGTTTTAAGACTAAAGGCATCTCTTTTTCTGTTTTTAACGCGTCAAGCTTTGGACATGACTTCTGCATATATTTTTGATTTGGTTTTATATATTCCATAAGATTTTTCGATTACTTTATGATTGTATGTTATTTGAAGGTGATGGTTCGCTCAATTATTTTGAGAGGTTTCGATCGGGATATGGCAGAAAGGATTCAAAAGCATATGTTGGAAATAGGAGTGAAATTTATAAAGTAGTACTCAAGTTTTTAGGCAATAAGCTTACTTTGTTACTGCAGGCTTTTTTAGTGGCTTATTTATTATGTGGGGTTAGGAGCGTAACGGTACATGGAAGATAAATTTTTCTTGTGTGAAATTAAGGTTATAAATAGTTGTGCCCTTTTGCAGTGCAGTACCTTTCAAATATGAGAAGATAAAAGAACCTTCAGTTGATAAACCTGGTTTAATTCGTGTTTATACCATTAATACGTTAGAGGATGGTAGTAAGCAAGAAGTTTCCGAAGATTTCAACACAGTGAGTGCTACAGCAAAAAGATATTTTTCAATTCTTTTAGGCAGTTTAATGTCTGAGCAGAAGTGGTATCATACTTATTCACATCTAGCAGTTCTTAAAAGCGAAGCTAGATAATTTTTTGTTTAAATAACATTTTAGGATTAAAGTTTTTATTAAAGCAGTCTTTGGAGCAAGTGTTTTCAGGTCTTAATGGCGATAGGTCGGGATGCCGTTACTGATGATGTGGGTTTAGATGAAATTGGAGTGGAGCGTGCGCCAAACAAAAAAATTATAGGTCGGCACGAACAAAGTAAGTCATGCCCTTATGTGTATGCTGTAGGTGACGTGCTCGACGGGTGTTTGGAGTTAACACCTGTGGCAAGGACTGCTGGAAAAGTTCTTATGAGGAGGTTATATACTGGTAACTGTGAGATGACAGAGTATGATAAGGTACCAACTACTGTATTTACTCCATTAGAGTACGGTTCTTGTGGGCTCTCGGAAGAAACTGCTAAACAAAGGTTGGTCTCTTTAAGGTGTTAAAAAATTGCCTTCTGGTACCGCTACTTAATAGATGTGGGTTTAGATTTATTACCGAGTATTTTTTAGGTACGGTGCCGAAAACGTGAACGTTTATCATGGGATGTTTCTTCCTTTAGAATTTACAATTCCCCAGAGAGTGGAAAACCGACACTGTTATTTGAAGTTGATTTGTGTTAAGTCGCAAAATGTTGGTTTTTTTGTAATCCTCATTTTAATGTTAACTTTTTATTGCTTTAATTAGCTTGTCTTTATGGTTGGGGAGTACGCAGGCTTTTGACTTCAGGACCGTGTCGTGGGATTGCATATACTGTCGCCTGATGCTGGTGAAATAACACAAGGTTTTGCTATTGCGTTGAAACTTGATGCAACAAAGGCTGATTTCGATCGGTTGATCGGAATACATCCAACTGTAGCCGAGGTTTGTTCACACTTGTGTATTTTCTTTGGCTCTTTTATTTATTTAGTGCTTAGGAAAAAAAGGCTGCACTTTACTGTTTTGGTTTGTATAGAAACAGAGAGTTTTGGATGTCTTCTTACATTTTTCAAGTTTTTAAGTCGCAGAAGCTGTTGTGGGCTGATATTTTCCTTCATCTATATATTTTCATTTGCAGAACTTCACCACTTTAACGGTTATGAAAGTGGAGAATGGCGAAGAACTCAAGGCTTCAGGTTGCTGAGGGTAACGTATGACCACTTTATTCGTAAAAGTGGTCGTTTGTTGGTAGTATACAGTTGTTTGCATCCCTTGCTTTACCTTCTGGAAAACGAGTTGTGTTGCAAACGCGTGAAGGATTTGGGCTAAATTCTACTGTGAACGCTCTTTTCTTGATAAACTGTCTTACTCCGACGTTTTCTCATCGTAAAACTTGAACAATTTTCTGATTACTTCTGTTAAATGTA